GTCCCTCACCTGCTTCAGATCATTTCTCTTACCTAGAAAATTAAATGTGGTGTACAGTAAACTTTTAATCAAAACACAGCCTAGTTGGTGGGGAATGAAAGCTACTGTTGTTGTTTGACAGCTGATTCGGGCCTCCTGGGGATGCCCCTATGCTGCTGAGTAAACTCTGGGCAATGATTCATTTCATGACTATATTAATGGCATGTAATTTTGTGTTTTTTTTTTTACTGCCAAGTACTTATGTGTGAATAAGTATAAGAAAATGATTGCTTATTGGAAGTGTATAAATTCAGAGCCAAGGGGCTGGGGCTATAGCTCAGTTGGTAGAGTGCTTGCCTCAAACACAGAAAGCCCTGGGTTCAATCCCCAGCACCACAAAAATAAAAATAAAAAGAAAGAAAGAAAAGAAAATTCAGAGCCAGGAATGGTGGAGAGTGACACTCTCCTTTCTGAAGATTCAGCATACATAAACTTTGTTTCAYGCACAAAACTATTTATATGCAGAGAGAGCCTACATTTTTTGGGAGCAAATTTTKGCCACATGCCTGTCAGACAGAGCACTAATCTCCAGGATACAGAAAGAACTCAAAAAACTTAACACCAAAAAAATAAATAATCCAAACAATAAATGGGCTAAGGAACTGAACAGACACTTCTCAGAAGAAGATATACAATCAATTAACAAATACATGAAAAAAATGTTCAACATCTCTGGTTAATTAGAGAAATGCAAATCAAAACTSTAGTCAGAATGGCATTTATCAAGAATAAAAGCAACTATAAGTGTTGGCGAGGATGTGGGGACACTCTTACATTGTGAGTGGGTCTGCGAATTGGTGCAACCACTCTGAAAAGCAGTATGGAGATTCCTTAGAAAACTTGGAATGGAAACACCATTTGACCCAGCTATCCCACTCCTCGGTTTATACCCAAAGGACTTAAAAACAGCATACCACAGTAACATGGCTACATCAATGTTTATAGCATCACGATTCACAATAGCTAAACTGGACCAACCTAGATGCCCTTCAATAGATGAATAGATAAAGAAACTGTGGTGTATATACACAATGGAATATTACTCAGTATTAAAAGAGAATAAAATCATGGCATTTGTAGGTAAATGGATGGAGTTGGAGAATATTGTGCTAAGTGAAGTTAGCCAATCCCAAAAAACCAAAGGCTGGATATTTCCTCTGATAAGTGGATGCTGATCCATAAGGCGGGTGGCATGGGAGGAATGGAGGAACTTTAAATAGGGCAAAAGAGAGGGAGGGGAAGGGAGGGGGCATGGGGGTAGGAAAGATGGTGGAATGAGATGAATATCATTACCCTAAGTACATGTATGAAGACACACATGGTGTGACTCTACTTCATGTACAACCAGAGAAATGAAAAATTGTGCTCTGCTTATGTACTGTGAATCGAAATGCATTCTGCTGTTACGTACAACTAATTAGAAGAAATGATTTTCTTAAAAAACTATTTATAATATCATATAAAATTACCTTCAAACTGTGTGTGTGTGTGTGTGTGTGTGTGTATGTGTGTGTGTGTATAAATCCCCAAGATCTCTCAATATTCCAAAGTCTGAAACTTCTGGTCCCAAGCATTTGGGATGAAGGATGCTCAGCCTGTATTACGAGCAGCATAAATCACTGAGTGTCACCTTTTTAGGAAGAGCATGAAATTTGGAATTAAGGCTTTCTGTAAACTGAGGGTTAAAGACGTTTTCCTCCCACACCCTGGTCACACCAGGAGGATGTGAGAGGACTCCACTCTGCCCTGGCTTTGCTCAGATCCCCTGGAGGTGACGGGGCGTGGTACTTGAAATGACTGACAGCCATGGGCTGGGACCTGGAAGCCCGGGCCAGGAGCACCCTGATGTGTGTGGACACTGGAGAGGGACACTGGCCTAGAAGAGCCTGTTCCTGGGCAGATACCTGGCTTCCCCACAGACAGGCACCCGCCATGGGAACGTGCCAGAAGAACCAGCACCTCAAGTGGCCCTCCGTTCTCTCCCCCGGGAAGTCCCTTGTCACACACACTCTTTTCAGACTGGTGAGCGCAGACTCTCTGGCTTCTGTGTGTGCTTCATGGAGCCTGGAGAATTCTGGATCGAGTAGAAGTGACCCACAGCCCCTCTGGGGTGAACTGAGAGCCTCTGAGACCTGAAGTCAAGAGGGGTCTGATGTGAGCGCTGGGCAGACAGAGGCCCTGGGGAAGCTTGGGAGCCCGGACGTTGGCTCAGAGAGACCAGGGTCTGAATCCCCGCCGTGCTAATTACTCGCTGAGATTTCCCACATGGAAAACAGGGATGATGATGCTCCAGAGGACGGGAGGACACGGTGTGGGAAAAGCATGCCACACAAGGGCACGAGGCCATAAACAGCTGCCACCACTAACTGCGGCTAATGATAAACTGTCCCCAAGGACGCATGGTGTCCATGGCAAGGAATTTTGTGGAAACTGCAGAGCAGGGAGGGCTGAAGACCTTCCTGAGAGCGAGAACAATATGTGGAAATGAATTCCGCTCATACCCACTGGGTATTTTCTTTGTTTAGTGTGCTGTTTCCATTTTTGTGATTTACCAGACTCAAAACATGTATTTTCTCTTAAGAAAGTTGAGGCTATTGTTTGCAAGAGGCTGGGTTGACAGAGGGCAGGCATGAACCCAGCTGGGTCCTCACAGCAAGGACTGTTATCTTGACCTTCCATGTAAAACTCACTTTCCCCTCTCAGTAGCTCTGTGGTTTGGAGCGCTGGCGCCTGGGGAAATGCCTCTGACCTCCTGCCCTTGTGGAGTGGTGGGTACTGCCAGGCCTAGCAGAGACTCTTCCCCTTCAGCTGAGGACAGGGGAAGTGTCAAGGTCAGGAATTATTCCCTTTCCTTCCCTTTCTATATAATAAGAAATTAATTCAGAAAAAAATTCCTAAAAAGCTAAAATAAGACAATCTCCCCCATAACTCTTAACAGCAAGAGAGGGCCATTATTGACATTCTAAGAAATCATTCCTCCAGTTTTTCTCTATTCGTTTAAATTATGGACGACTCACCAGTGTTTTACTGGGTTTTCTGTTTCATTGACCATATTGTGGTTCTCTCCCCACATCATAAAATAGTCTACAAATCTTCATCATAGATGTGGAACAGTATGACCAGTAGTTATAAACTAGCATGACATTTTATTTATTACTTATTTATTTATTTGCAGTGCTGGGGATTAAACTCAGGGGTGCTCTGAGCTGCAGCCCCATCCCTTTTTGCTTTCTCTTTTGAGACAGGGTCTCACTTAGTTGCCCAGGCTGGCCTTGAGTTTATGATCCTCCTGCCTCAGCCTCCCAAACCACTGGGATTATAGATGTGAAATCTGTAATTACATTCAAGATTTTCTTTTCTGTTTTACAAAACAAGTGAGAGTATTTGGGAAATTGTTKCTCAATTTCAGGCCCTGCACTGCTCTATATATACTGCATTTAGGAAAAGGTTTTAGCTTGCTTTTTTTGGAGTGAAGATTTATATGGATGGTAAGAAGCAACTTCAATAATGTAACTCAGGCATCAAACAAATGCATATGCTCTGTTAGATGCGTGATTGGATGACTCCTAGCATTATTCCTAAAGTAAAATTAAATAACTTTTTTGTAGTTGTAGATCAATGTTGCACAAATGGACGTTTAAGATGAGAGCATTTTCCCACTCTAAAGTGGTGGACAGCAGGAAAAAGAAAAAGAAGAAGCTGTCATATTGGAGCCAGTCTCACACAAAGGCCTCCTTACAGACACGCATGGATTCACACGTACAAACATGTTGATGGTCTGTTGCACTTTATTTCATTTCACCGATCATTTTCTTCCTGTAAGTATCAGTCTGTAATATTTTATAAATCTTGCTCTTATTCAAATGGTTACTTATGAACAAGCAGTACTTAATTTTCTATTATCACAGTCATGTTTCCCTGATGGAACCACCTCTTCTTCAGATTCATTCTCTACTCTTTGAGATTCACTGTCCAATGACTGGATTTTTCATTCACTAAGCAATTAAGTAGGAAAGGGTTTATTTGATCCAACACTGTCATTTTAAACCTCTGCAGTTTAGATCTTCTGACATAATTATTTTGTCCTGAAACAGAGGTTTGTCCTGCATCTATTCTTACAAGGTGAGTTGGAAAATGGCAATTATCAATCTTGAAAATAATAGAAGTTTTCAATGCCTTTTCATTGCCTGAGTCTTGTCTCCAATTGTCTCTGAGAGAGAAACCTTTCCACAGATGTACATAAAAATGTGGGGACCCCAAATGAATCTATTGTTATTCTGTTTTGTTTTGTTTTTTCAACTAGCCAGCAGGGGTAGCTGGGAGGTGAAGGATGCGGGTAAAGACTGCTAACACAAAGATAAGAGAAAGCAGAACTTTGCACACGCATCTGCTAATAGGACGCCCATTCAAACTTATGGGCATGGTGGTGCACGCCTATAATCCCAACAGTTCAGGAGGCTGAGGCAGGAGGATTGCAAGTTTAAAGTCAGCAACTTAGTGAGGCCCTAAAGCAACTTAGCAACACCCAGCCTCAACATAAAAAATAAATAAATAAGAAAGGGCTGGGGATGTGACTCAGTGGTTAAGAAGGCCTGGGTCCCATCCCTGTCCCTTCCCCCCCCATGCAAACTTTTATAAAGTACTATTAAACCATGTAGCCACAAACTAGCAATATAAAAAGAAATGCCATTTTTAAAAGCAGGATAATTTGTAATTACAGAAGAGCACACAGTTATTCAGGTCATTTGGGGAGCAGAGATGATCGGGTGGGTTTACATATATAACAATCTAACAGCCAGATTTTTCCTTTTCTTTATCCCAAACCCAAGTCCCCAGCCAGTGGGAGGCGGGCCCAACCCGTGAGTTAGATTGTGCAAAGCTTGTCAAGATCCTCCGATTTCCCTAATGCGGTCAAGAAAAGGAGGAAGTTCTCTTCTCTGTTGATGGTGCCACTACCATGATCTCGGCTCGCCCGTCCTCTCTGGTTCCACTGAAGAGAATGTGCAGACACTTGAACACGTTCTTTTTTTGGGGCATTTTTTCTTCTGTTACATGTAAGGCCACATACCGTCTTGAGACTCGAATCGCCACACTGAAGCATCGTGTGAAAAATGAGCTTTCTCATGTTCTTTTTCTCTCTTTCAGTTCAAAAAGCTGTACTGAACTGTCATACCATGAAAAAAAATGGTAAGTTTCCTTTTCTTCTTACTGAAGTTATTTTAYGGGAAAGGGTGAGATGGTCAGCCTTAAACATGACTGCTTAAGTTTTTTTGTTTGCTTGCTTTTAGATAAATAACCAAGAACAAAGACTTTTCAGTTAAATAAACTATTTAAATAGTGATTTTTAGGGAGAGCGTTGGAAAGTTTTTTTCTGAGTCTCTTGTGACAAAGTTTTGAGATTGCTTTTACAATGAATGTTTCTCGCTTTCTTTCATTGTTGTTGTTCTTCAACTAGAAAACCCAACGCATCGTCATTGCAAAATAGTTCAAGCGACACTAGAAACGTATATCAGAGGGCAGGCTGGGTGGGGTRGCGCATGCCTATAATCCCAGCTACTTGGAGGGTAGAGGCAAGAGGATCCCAAGATCAAGGTCCGCCTCAGCGCATGTGGCTCAGTGGTTAAGCACCCCTGGGTTCAATCCCCGGTACCAAAAAAAGGCAGCATTAGACCACTTGATCYTCATCCTGGTTCTGCTGTTGACCACCTGGCAGCCTGGGCAAATGATGTAAACCCTTTACTTCAGGTTTCTCAACTGTGAGGTGGAGTACTAAAAGYCCTGCTGGGAGAGTCCTCCTGAGGGTTGAATGCTACAGTCCTCACTCCTCCAAACAGCTCCCAGCAAATGGAAGGCCACTGATATGCGCTAATCTTAGTCCATATACCTTCTTTATTCCTGTAAAAAAATGAAAGTGCAGTCACATTTCCTCCAATCCCTTTCTATTCTCTATTTCTAGAATAGACCACTATCAATCATGTTTTTCTATCCAGGATCAGTGGAATTTTTTTTTTTTTTTCAGGGCTGGGGATTGAACCCAAGGCCTTGTGCATGCGAGGCAAGCACTCTAGCACTTAGCTACACCCCAGCCCTAAATAAATTCTTTTATAACTTTTCTTTTGTAAAAAAAATGTAACCATGTATCATAGATATCCTCGTAAGTAGAAGATATAGATTTATCTCATTTGTTCAACAGTTGCATGGTATTTAATTAATTTATTTTTTTTGCAGTACTGGGGATTGAACCCAGAGGTGTTCTCCCACTGAGCTACATCCCAGTCCTTTTTATTTTTTAATCTTGAGACAGGATCTTGCTAAATTATTGTGGCTGGCCTCAGACTTGTGATTCTCCTGCCTCAGCCTCCCAAGTATCTGGGTAATTACAGGTGTGCACCACTGCACCCCCATGACATGGTATTTTATAATATGATGCAGCRACAGTTCATTTTTATTGATTATTCCACTTTTTCTCATAATATAAATAATACTGTAATAGACATCCCTGTACAGAACACCTTTTGTGGGCCAATGGGAGCATCTCTGTACATCCTAACAATTGAAATTGCCAGATCAAAGGAAACATGAGTTAAATTGTTGCAGATTCTCAATTGCCCTCCCGCTAGGCTGAAGCTGCTGGGGTCACCAACAGTGTGGGTAAGTGTGAGCTCATCCCACGGCCCCAGCAGTGGATATAACAGTTTATAAAATTTATGCCAACCTAATGAGAGCAAAGTGATATCCCAGTATTTTAATTCACAGTTGTCTCATCTCTTGTAAAACTGCACATCTGTTTCATGTTCATTGGCCGTTAASGCTCCAGCATTCCCATGTGAAGGAAATGTGGGAACGGCCATCCAGGTTGGAAAGGGAAGGTGTTGTTTTGAAGTTGAGCTAAAAAAGACTGAGAAAATGTTAATTATCCAGATCAAAGAGTGGGAGGGAGTTGATGGCATAAATCTGTCTTCCACCCAAGCAGGTGTTTGGTTCCCATGGTATTTAGTGGTCATCTGCATTTCTTCTTCTGGAAATTACCTGTTTATATTATTTGCCTGCTRATTTGATTGTTGGCCTTTTTCTTGTTGATTTGAAGTTGATTTCTATATATTGAAAAATCCACTGGTTTTATTTACTTTTAAAGCATTTTGTTCTAGACTGTCACTTGACTTTTAATTTTGTCATAGAGGAGTTTAAAGTTTGGGGGTAGCTAAGAATTTTCAATCTTTTTTTTATGGCTTCTAATTATTTTGTTTTTTTTTTTTTTTTATGTGGCTCCTAATCTGGCCTAAAATATTTCCTTGTATTTCTCTTCACYCTTTCATAGTTGTTTTTGTTTTGTTTTGTTCATTTGATTTTCTGATGGGGGTTCTTTTTTCTCTCAACATTTTATTTATTTATTTATTAGTTGTAGGTAGACACAATACTTTTATTTATTTCTATGTGGTGCTGAGGATAGAACCCAGGGCCTCACATGTGCTAGGCAAGCACTCTACTGCTGAGCCACAATCCCAGC